AATTAAAAGTCATTAAAAATAGGCAAAGATATGAAGAGTTGACAAAGATATAAAAAATAGCCCTTAAACATATGAAAATGTGTTCAACTTCTCGTACATGAAACAAATACAAATTAAAACAATAGTCGCCGTAAGATTGGCATAAACTCAAAAAAGTGATAATCCACACTGTTGGTGAAGCTGTGGGAAGAGGCACTCCAATATATGTCAGTGAACGTGTGAAATGGGACAACTCCCATGAAGGGATATTTGGCAATATTCAGCAAAACAACTCATGCATGTAGCCTTTGACCTGGCGATACGACTTCTACGAGTTTACCTTAAAGATACAATCCCAAAAATACAAAAAAGCCATATGCATGAAAATACAAAACACTGAAAACTACCCAAAAGCCCAAGCATAGGCAAGTGGCTGAATTAGCTATGTTATATACACATAGAAGATGAGGCTGTAAAAAAGAATGAGGGGCCAGGCTTGGTAGCTCTGCCTGTAATTCCAGCACGTTGGCAGAAGCAGGGGGACTTCTTAAGGCAAGGAGTTGGAGACCAGCCAGGGCAATAGTGCAAGATCCAGTCTTTACAAAAAAAAAATTTTAAGTAAAATTAAAAAAGAGGCTGGGTGCGATGGCTCAAGCCTGTAATCCCAGCACTTGGGAGGTAAGGGAAGAAGATTGCCTGAGACCAGGGGTTTGAGACCAGCCTGGGCAAGTTGGTGAGACCTCTCTCTACAATAAATCAGAAAATTAGCTGAGCGTGGTGGCTTGCACCTGTAGTTCCAGCTACTTGGAAGGCCGAGGTAGAAGGGTCACCTGAGCCCTGCAGGTCTAGGCTGTGGATGTGCCACTGCACTCCAGCCTGGGGAACAGAGTGAGCCTCCAACTCAAATAAATAAATAAGAATGAGTAGCTAAAAGAAACATGGTATTTTGGACTGGATTATGGAATGAAAAAAAGGACATGGAATAAAAAGAACTTATGAAATTTTAAATAAAACTTTTAGTTTAGTTAATAGAATTATGTCAATGTTAATGTCTTAGTTTTGATCAAGGCAGCATGAGATATAAGATGTTAATATTAAGGGATGGCCATGTGAGGGGTATAGGGATTCTCTGTACTATCTTTGCAGTTCTTTTGCAAATCTAACAAGTATTTCAAAATTAAAGAAAAATAAGTATGAAAATGTGGATTTTTAAAATGTGGACAAATTTTATGCACTGAAATAGGGTTATCTGGGAGCTTTCAAGCTAAAAAAGCAAAACACAGAGCAGCATATATATGTTAGGCCTTGTGTGTAAGAATGAAAGGGAAATAAGAAAAATACATAGAGCAGCTTATTTTTACAAAAAGAAACAAGGAAGAATAAGCCAGATAACAATGAAGTTGATTACGAGGAACTGAGGGAAGTGGGGTGGAGGAGCTGCAGAAGTGGGTAAAGTTTTGACTTTTGGAAGCATGCCAACATTTTCTGTATTCAACAAAAGACAATAAAATGAACATCATGCTGGCAAGGAGAAAAACCTAAAACTGAAAGCAAACTGAAACAAATGAGACAGGGAATATTCCAGAGGAGGCTGGAACGTCCTGTCACACTACAAGTAAGGGAGTGCTTAAAAAAAATAACGGAGAATGTGACAAGGTCCAAGGGGGCAATTTGGAAAGGCTCCCTTTAGCTCATCTGGGATGCTGTGAGTACCAAAATAATTAAATCCAGTGATGAAATATAAACGACTGAAAAGCATAGGAATCCATGAATCCGTGCCAATAATCAATAGGTAAATGGATAAATAAATGAAATAAAGGCTATTGCTTATGGTAGAATAACAGCTGACAACTGGACAAGTAGGAGAGTGCTAAAATGGAAAAATCATTATTTGTTATAAAATCAACTTTTTTTTGTTGAGTCAAGGTCTCACTAAATCACCCTGGCTGGAATGTAGTGGCACAATCACAGTTCAATCACGGCTTACCACAGCCTCAACCTTCTGGGTTCAGCCGATCCTTCAGTTTCAGCCTCCTGAGTAGCTGGGGCTACAGAAGCGTGCCATCACACCCAGCTAATTTTTTTTTTTTTTTTGTAGAGACAAGCTCTTGCTATGTTGCCCAGGCTGGTCTCAAACTCCTGGCCTCGAGCAATTCTCTCACCTTGATCTACCAAAGTGCTGGGATTACAGGCGTGAGCCACCATGCTCAGCCAAAATCATCATTTTTATAAAATCATCATTTTGTAAACTATCACAGCAAAGACAGAAGAAGTCAGATAAGAAGTCTTTGACAAGAAGTCATCAATGGATGCTAAATCAAGATGGACCTTTGAATAATGAACGGGATATCTGTATAGCCTTAAAGTGTTTTCTTACAGAAAATTCTTTATTATTTGCAAAGTCAAAATTGATAACTATGCAACGGAGAAATTTGATAACACCTTGGTCAGGTTTATAACATCAATGAGGGGCAGAGAAGTATCACATGCCTTGAGAAATAATACCTTGAGAAGGATGTAGATCACTTATGTAATATTATACTCAAGAATGCACAATCTAAATAGAATAAGAAGGAAGCATCTGACAAAACCCAAAATGAAAAATGTTCTATTAAACAAACAGGGTTATATATGTCAAAACATTAATGTCATAAAAAAAACAAGAGAAGGGCCAGACTCAGTGGCTCAGCCTGTAATTCCAGCACTTTGGGAGGCTGAGGCAAAAGGATTGCCTGAGCCCATGGGTTCGAGACCCACCTGGGCAACTTGGCAAGACCCTGTCTCTACAATAAATAAAAAATTAGCTGGGCATGGTAGCACACTCCTGTAGTTCCAGCTACTTGGAAAGCTGAGGCAGAAGGATCACAGGAGATCAGCAGGTCGAGGCTGTGCTGGCTGGGAGTATGCCACTGCCCTCCAGCCTGGGTGACAGAGTGAGACTCCAACTCAAAACAAAAGACAAAAACCAAAAAACAAGGGAAGGCTATGGAAACGCTCAGGACTGACGGAGACAAAAGAGACAAAAACAAAATATACTTTCCTGGATTATATTCCATACTGAACTGTAAAGAAGGTTATAAAGGGCATAATTAAGCTAGTTAACAAAATTGGAATATGTGCCAAATATTAAAGTATAGTATTACTATTAAATGTATATATAACGTGAAATACTATAGTTGATAAATGTAGTGTTGTTATTTAATAGAAAATACCACATGTTTTCACTCATATGTGAGAACTAAAAAACTTGATGACATGGAGATAGAGAATAGAATGACAGATTCCAGACGCTGGGAAGGGTGTGAGGGTGCCAGAGACCAGCTCCAGCCGGGTTCAGGGTACCCCAAAGGTGGAGACGGCATCGGCGATTGGGGGGAAGAAGAGAGAAAGAGAGAGAGAGAGAGAAAGAAAGAGACTGGACTCCGGTCTAGTGCAGAAGCGATGTGTGTTATTGGGAATGACAACGGGTCTTTTATACACAAAGTCAGATGTGGGAGGGGCGTCCCCTACCCACCAGAAACCTTAATCCATGAAAACTTAATCAATGATTGCCTTTAAACCCTTTTCATATGATAATCTTAAAATCCCATAGCAAAGGATAACCTAATCCGTGACTGACATATTCTATAAACCTTTTTCATCCTAAGCTGATTGATTTATGCCAAGTTAAACAATTCTATAGAAGCTTAAGTATTTACCTTACAAAGGAAAGTGGCCCATCCCAGAATGTTTGGAATGTGGCCCAGTCCAAAGTTCACAGTGGGCTACCTGCAAGTAACCCAGCTGCATTCTTTCAACAAAATGGCTGTCTTCTAAAACTATATTCTACAATTTACACCTTCAATAAATCCTAAGATCATGACCCAGAAGCCTGTGACCAATACTAAGGCTCTTAGATGTGACACAAATTTGAATTATAAATTGTGTGAATTATAAGTTCTGCAGTTTGCGGAAGAATGGGAGCAATGAGCTTCTAAAGTTAGCTTGTGTTCATCCCGGTCTCAGAGTTTTTATGTTTTGAGCTCACAGGAGCTTAATCTGGTTAGTGCTGAGCAGAAAGGGGGAGGAAATGGGGTCAAATAGCTCCCGAATGCATCCTAGTGGTCTTGGGGTCAACGGCCCTTCCTGATCCCTAATACTCAGTGGGCCTCCATGGCTGGCTCCTAACATGAGGGTGGGAAGGGGATGCAGAGAGGTTGGTGAAAGGTACAAACTTAGAATTAGATAGAAGATACAACTTTTAGTGTCCAATAGCAGACTATGGCGACTGTAGTTAGTAACAATATAGTATTGTCAATTTCAAGAGCCCAGACAGAAGGACTTGAAATGTCGCCAACACATAGAAATGATAAATACTCAAGGTGACGGACATCCCAACTACTCCGATTTGATCATTTCATGTTCTATGCATGTAACAGACACTCACATGTACCCCATAAGTATGTAAATATCATGTATCTGGCCAGGCGCAGTGGCTCATGCCTATAATCCCAACACTTTGGGAGACCAACGTGAGAGGATTGCTTGAACCCAAGAATTCTGGATCAGCCTGGACAACACAGCAAGACCTTGTCTCCTCAAAAAAAATTAAAACTTAGCCAGGTATGGTGGTATGCACACACCTGTAGTCCCACCTATTTGGGGGGCTGAGATGAAAGGATAGCCCGAGCCGAGGAGGTCGAGGCTACAGTGAGTTGTCATCATGCCACTGCACTCCAGCCTGGGCGACAGAGTGAGATCCTGACTCAAAACAAAACAAAACAAAAAGTAAAATATCATGTATCAATTTTTAAGAAAAACTGAAGTCCTTAGGAGAAAATTCCTTTCAAATACAGAGGAAGTGAGCCCATGAATTTATCGATAAAGCAAATTGGGTAGAATGTTAACAACAGGTGAATCTGGGTAAAGGTTCACAGATGTGTTTTAGATTGTTCTTATTATTACAGCGTTTCTGTAAATTTGAAGTAATTTCCAATTTAAAATGTTGCTGTTCTTTAAAAAAAACAAACAAAAAAACACACCTGGATTTTTCCTCTCACAAACGTGGTGATATCGTTCTCATTTTCAAAGATGGAGAGTGTCTGTAGTAGATTCTGCTCAAGCCATTCCCAGTGTTCAGTGATCTCTTTCCTGGAGCCACCTGCATGAAAGTAAAACAATAATAAACATGTCAATTAGATTTTACAGAACCAGGCTCGCTTCACCAATATATTCGGCGCCATCAAAAGAAACTTATTGGGCCAAGAGCTCTGCCATTAAATGCATCCTCTCCTAGGAGGACATACACACACACACACACATGAGACATTCAAGGACGTGAAAATCCAAGACTCCATGTCCTTTGGAGTCAAGTTTGATCAGATGAGCCCAGAAGTTTCCAGAACACTGTTTCAGAGGGCAAGGCAGTGACATTTCTCAAATTTGCTTTTCCGGACAGGGAGTTCAGCCATTTCTTTCCTCTCTTCTCCTTTCTGGATTGCATACTTTAGAGAGTCACATAGATCTTATGATCCTACGATACAGTTGTTAAATTGCAACAATCTGAGCGCTCCAGCATGCCACCGGAGAGCTGATGTAACCATCGCCTGTAATGGGCAAAAAATTACCCTCACTCACTTCAATTATGAATAAGATGTGAAAATGGACTCCCGCTAGGGAATGGCAGGCTGGCGCTCACTCACAGACTGCCTTGAAATGTACCGGGATGATGTCATCCTTGCAGCCTCAACCAAGTCACTGCATTTCCGTCAGGAATAAGGAGCATTAGTCACCTGGCAACCTCTAAACTTAAACAAACCCTGCCTCATAGCACATACAGAGGATGCCAAAAACACGTATATACATTTTAGGAAAGGAAAAACTGTATTAAAGTTGCAATACTCAATAAGATAAATACAAGTCACATTTGACTTCTGCAATTACAAGAGGTGCTCAAAGTGGTTGCCATCAGCATCCAGACACTTCTGATTACAGAGAACTAAAAGCAATACATTGATAACATCTCTTAAAATGTATATACGTTTTTTGGCACCTCCAGCATAACTGTCACACTGCTTTTGTTCACAACTGTAGGGCATCACAGGCATGTCGTCAGGGGGTGCTTGTAAGGATACTGGACTCAATTCCCCTAAGAATTGCTAACACTCTGACAGGATAACAACTTTCCATAAATCATCCATATATCATGTATATAAATTGCATGCGCGGCTCATTCCAGAAATAAAGAAGGATTGTGTGATTCCACTGATTCATCCTTCAGGCTTCTCCTTAGATTTCTCAGTTATCTTTTAATGGAGTTCTTAAGAGTATCTTTTCTTTCTGCTCTTTGTCACCAATAATTCAAGAGATCTCAGAATCTCTTGATTCCTGACCAGGAAAGAGAAACGGGAGACACAGTGCATCCACAATAATACCAGAACTACGGCAACAGAACCAAAATCTCTGAGAGAATGAGAGGTCGGGCTGAAACATTTCAGATCCACTGTTGGAAGAGAGGAGGAACAAAACCAAACCCAGGTTTGCTTTCTTGTACTTTAAGACTCAACACCAAAATGGTCAGCAAGGCAGATTTCTTAGTGGTAAAAACATGAAAAATAGACTGCATCTCTTCATGGGCATCTTTCATGCTCAGTCATTCAGAGCCAAAAGCAATGACACGTAAAAGCAATAGGTGACTCTGGACAACAATGACATGGCAAGACCTGGAAGCCAGGACACCTGGGCACCCCTCTCTCTCTGCCACAAGCCAGCTGGGTAACTTTAGACAGATGCTTAATCTCTGTCTTCAATTGTTTACATATAAAATGGAGATGAATAAAAAAGGAACAGCAACAAGCAAGAAAACCCTTACCCATCTCAGAGCTATGTTGTGAAAATCACAAGGGATAATGCCTACAGAGACACTTTAGAATGTAGAAAACACTTTTCAAATGCAAAGTGCAATGCCTATTTGAAATATTTAGGGAACAGATCACTATGGAGTTTTCCTGAGAGCTTTACATCATTTTAGACTTAAAAATTTCAAATACTAGGTTGGACATGGCAGCTCACGCTTGTAATCCAAGCATTTTAGGAGGCTGAGGCAAGAAGACTGCTTAAGCCCTAAAGTTTGAGACCAGCCTGGGCAACATGGCGAGACCTTGCCTCTACAAAAAATCAAAACATTAGCTTGGGCATGGTGGTAGGTGCTTGTAGTCCCAGTCATTTGGGAGGCTGAGGTGGAAGGATCACCTGAGCCCGGGAGGCTGATGCTGCGGCGTGCCATGATTGTGCCACTGTACTCCAGCCTGAGTGACAGACTGAGACTCCAATGCAAAAAAGACATGTTTTTTCAAATACTAAGCCCTTCAAAAAATTTTTTTTCAAACTCTGAGCCCTTCTGGTCTGTAAACAGGTCACTGCCATCACTCACTGTGATATGCTGCAGACACAGAGTCCTGTGCAGAGTAAATGCCAGCCCTCTGCCCATCTGCTCCATCTGTGCTTGCTGGCACTGTCAGATGGACCGCACTGTAGGACAGAGGCACTCCTGGGGACCCATGCAACTGCTGAGCTTCGGCAGACCCAAGACACATGATTCCCAGCCTCTGTTTTGCCTTTCATCTGTCCCTACCTACGTTGGTCACAGACGCGCCTTCCTGAGGCTGAACCTTGGCTGAGCCAGGTTAATCTGGTTCTTGACTGGTACCTCATCACGCTCTGCCCCTGACCAGGTCGTCACACTAGATATTTTACTTCTAGAGTCTCTGTCACACTGGTTGTAGAATCCAGCCCGACCACTTCAGCTCAACCTCATCATTCCTTGGATACAAAAGTTCATCAGCTCCCAGACCAATGGTGGAACAGGAAAGGCTTTCAGCTTTTCACCTACTGCCTTTAAAATGTTCTCCATGCACAGATTTATCTAGAAGTGCATTCTTGCCACATACACGCCCATGGTAGAAATGGTGAATGCATATATGAAGGTATGCATTCAACCAACATTCATTCATACCTCCAACCTTCACTGGCATTATATGAAGGTCTACATGTGGATGTGTCTTTCCCCACCCCATCATCAATAGTCATCTGATGGCTATCATCAAAAAGTCAAAACACAGCAGGTGCTGGTGACACTGTAGAGAAAAGGGAATGCTTCTACACTGTTGGATGAAAATGAAAGCTAGTTCAACCTTTGTGGAAAGCAGTATGGCATTTTCTCAAAGAACTAAAATTTCATCCTAGCATTCCCACTTCTGGGAATATACCCAGAGGAACATAAATCACTCTACCAAAAAGACACCTGCACACGCATATTCACTGCAACACCTCTTATAGTAGAATAAACAAAGGGTTCAAGTTACCCCTCAGAGATAACAGAGCAAAGGTTACTTCAGGAACCATATTTGAGACTTCCTTTGAGACTTCAAAGGAAACATATTTGAAACGAAAGTGTTCCTCATACATGGCTTTTCATTTCTCAAGTAAGAAAGTCAAGTGCTACAAAAATTAAAGTCTTGGAACTTGTTGTTGCTTAAAGCAAAATAATATGAAGCTTTTTTGTCATGACTCTGAAAAGGACCCAGTCTATTTACCCAGCAGCTTGAGAAAACAAGTTAAGACACTCAGAAGAGAAAGGAAGGGCTTGGCTGTCGATTTTTCTGGAAAGGCCTCATTTACAGAGATACAGCAAGAAAAACAAGCTGGCCCAACTGTGTAATCAGCTGGAACAACAAAGAAAGCTGATGTTGGGTATGAGACTCTTTCAGGAAATACAAGTGAAAACCTTCTGCTGTGCTAAAAACTAGATCAATACATGATGGGTTTAAGGTTATTTAGATATTAAATTTCTGAAAAATGAGAACCTTTACAATTCAGACCAGTTTTTAGGATCATGGCCACAGGCCCAGTGTACAAATTTGGGCAAATTTTAAATGGTATCTTAAATGATGAAAAATACTAAATCATCCTAGTCTAATTTCGTTATTTTCTTTTTTCCCCTTCCCTTTCTACACATAGCTGCAACATTCTAGCCTAATTTCTCATTTGTCTGAAATTTATTTTAAAGTACATGATGTTTACTTAAAATAAAAGAAGCATGCATTAAGATGGACCCACAAAATGATTCTATCACATCTGGCCTCTGAGAATTAGAAAAACACGCTTAAGGCCCCACTGGTAGTATCTCCCTTGCAATGTGTGATTAATGATACGTTTTTTTCTTCCTACCTCCTAGGCATAATAATACATTTTGTTTCCGAGACTGCAGAGCTTGAGAAAAACCTGTATTTCAGAATAACTAACATGGTAAATTCTCACTGATCATATGGGTATTATGCACATGTATCGGTATACAATTGTATGTGCACATAAAAATGAAAAAAAGACACAGGGGAAAAAAACCCAACAACAAGACAAAAACTCACTAAACCTTCTAGGGATTAAAAAGCATCCCACCCAGTCTTTTCGGATTTGGAACAGACAATTTGGATCATTGAGTTGATCTAGTCCTCAAATGAATATCACTGAAGCTTCTCAAATAAAGGGAGCTAAATGAAGAAATTGTCTGTTTTATGGCCTTATCCAAATATAATCTTAGCCATAAAGATAATAATTTTGAAGTTTAAATACCAAATGAAGGCAAAAGTAATACCCAATACATTGGAGTAACACTTAACATGTCCTTGTATTTACAAAGCCAACACTATACTTTCTACAGTCAGAAAAATTATAAACTTGTATTTGGAGAAGGCAAAAGACAAAAATCCAAAAATAACGTGGTAATTTGAAATATTTCTTAAAATAAAGGGGAAATTCACTTTTTCTTCTTTTTTGTTTTGAGTTGGTGTCTCACTCTGTCACTCAGGCTGGAGTAGAGTGGCACGCTCACAGCCACCCCAGCGTCGACCTGTTGGGCTCAGGCAATCCTTCCACCTCAGCCTTTCAAGTAGCCGAACTAAAGGCGCATGATACCACACCCGGCTGATTTTTAAGTTTATTGTAGAGATGAGGTCTCACCAAGCTCCCCAGGCTGTTCTCGAGCCCATGGGCTCTGGCAGTCCCCGCACCTTGGCCTCCCAAAGTGCTGGGAATTTCAGGCTTAAGCTACCACCCCCAGCCAAAATCCACATTTTCAAAATCCACATCTACTCAAGG